TGCGACTCGCCGAATATCTCACGGCGCTTCGCGCTTGGTGATGTGAGAGCCTGGTCCGGTGAAAACCCGGCGTGCTCCGTGCCGGCTTTGTAGGGGTGCGAAGTCAATGGTCTCACGACTACGGCATGCACGACTACGAGTACACACCCCCTCCCGCGCACCTAAGCCTAGAGAGCCCAGAGGTAGTGAGAAACATCNACGGCGCTTCGCGCTTGGTGATGTGAGAGCCTGGTCCGGTGAAAACCCGGCGTGCTCCGTGCCGGCTTTGTAGGGGTGCGAAGTCAATGGTCTCACGACTACGGCATGCACGACTACGAGTACACACCCCCTCCCGCGCACCTAAGCTTAGAGAGCCCAGAGGTAGTGAGAAACATCGGTAGCGCGTGTTGATCTGCGGGGAAATCGTGAAGTACTGCTCTCGAGGCAAGTGACCAAGTTGTTTGCTTGCTTCCCTTCCCTTCACTGACGAATCGCACCCCCATCCCCATCCCACGTGACCCCCCCCTGCAGGTGCGAGACAGGTGGAACGTCCTGAAGATCGCCCTGGTGCACCGTCTCGGGGTGACAGAGGTCGGGGAGGCGAGCGTGATCATTGCCGTGTCGTCGGTGCACAGGAAGGACTCCCTGGAGGCCGTCGAGTTCGCGATCAACACGCTCAAAGCCACCGTCCCGATCTGGAAGCTGGTGAGTTGTTTTTTTTTCCCTCTTGTGTGCTTGAAAGTCTCGGCCCAAGGTTGATTCGTAACGATTGATACCCTCCAATTGTTTTATATATATATATATATATTTCCTTCCTCGTTTCAGTTCACGAGTTTTTTTTTTTTTGTTCCTCCCGCTCGCTCAATAACAACGGACGCTTTTGATTTCTCGTCCCGACCGCCTTGAATATTTTGGAACTCCCGTATCCGCCTTCGCACTCACGCTCTGCGTGTATGGTAGGGCCTATCGATACCTTTCCCGAAATTTCGAAACCTCAGCATGTTACTTGGTGGCATATTCATGCCTCTGCGCGGAGGTATCCGTGGCTCGTTGTGTGGCACTGACGGCACCCGACACGAGTTGCTGGTTGCTCTTTCTGACGGTACCTCTTTACCTCTTTCGCGAGCTTTTGTTATTTTTTTCATTCTCGCTCTTTCGTTCGCCTTCACAGGTCCTCTCTCTCTTTGACTCTCCCCCTCCCCTCCCCTCCCCTCCCCTCTCTCAGGAAGTATACGAGGGCGACAGCAGGGTGTGGAAGGAAAACGCAGAGTGGGGGCCAGGGGGCGGGTGCTGCCGCAAGATGGTTCCGGTTGAGGGAGAGGGCGGCCACGACCAGCAGCAGGTGGAGGGTGGGGATCGCGAGCACAACAACGACCATGACCACCACGACGAGGTCGCCAGCAGCACCATCAGCAGAACCTACAGCAGCAGCAGCAGCACCAACGGCAGCGGGAGCGGGAGCGGATGCTGCAGCGGCGCCCACGCCTGAACGCGAAAAAACAGGCCCACCTTCGCTTGACGTGCTACTCAAGCACTTTTTTTTCCCTCGGGATGCCAGGAGCTTTGTTTTCTGGTGTTTGTTCCCTGTCGAATACTCTTGCCTTTCCCCCCTTTATCTTGTGTAGTTTTAGGCTATACGTGCCGACCATGTAGTACTGTAGACTGTACGCGCTGCATTCCAAGCACCTCTGACGCTTGTGTACAACACCGGGGGCTTTGGGGATGCGATGCGGCTTGCGTTTTCGATTCGATTTTGTGCCCTTCTATGTTTTGCGCCCGTTCCTCTCGTGTTCAGCATTACCGCGTGCTTGGCGAGCCTTAGTTTTTTGTTTTTTCTTCGGCCGGTGCCGACAACGAGAGGACGATTTTTTCGGGAGGGGGGGTTGCCTATTTAGAAGTAGTATCGTTCGTGCTGACTGGTTACCAAAAAAGTTTAAGTTTTTTTACTCATTTGACAATTTTTTGGGTCTTGTTTTCGTGATGTCCTACTTTTTTTTTCTTTGTTTTCTGTACGATGAGGTTGAGGAAGAGGAAAAGCCACGCCGCGTTTTCTTTTGTGTGGTTCCGCCCCCGTGCCCTATCAAAACTGCGGGGGCGGGCTTTAGATTTCCTCGGGTCATAGGATAGAAACAGACGAACACATATAGATCATACTAGTAGCGTAGCACGAAGGAGGGCGCCTAACCTGTGCCCGACGATCAGTTAGTGCCCCGCTGGTCGATAGAGAAAAAGCCAGGGGGAGAAAGAGGCTGGCTTTAGACGGGAGACGCGGAGGTGCCGAAAGCAAGGCGGGGGGCATTGCGCATGGCTGTTTTGCCGAGCTTGACCTGCTATGGGTGCTTTGGATGCGGCATGTGCATCTTTTTTTTTTTTATGCGGGTGCCTTTTTGTTGTATTTTTCTGGGGCAAGAGGTGAGGTGATAGATTATTGCCGCGGGAGGGCAGTAGGAGGTGATTGGTGTCACCCGCAAGGTGTCGCCAGTGGGCGTCCCCGATATTGTGTTTCACTTGTTTTTAGTCTGTGGATGGATGTGCGCACAGACCAGCGGGCGAAGTGTAGGATGAGTCCGGTAGGGTGAAAGTCCCAAAGAAGGATGGCGCTTAGAAGAGCAAAGGGTCATTGGTATGCCCCCGCTGATTTTCACCCCTGTAGACTGCTGTCTGGACATTTTTAGCGAGGGGGGGCGAGCCGAGCACCCCCGACCCAACTTTTTTGCCATCAAAAAGTGTTGCTAAACGTGTGTAAGCCTTGGCAACTAAAAATTGTGTTTGGAGCGTTGACTCTAGTCGTGGCAAAATAAGAGGAGCGGGTGTATGCCTTTTTCGATTTGCATGTTGTTGGCTGCTAGAACCGGCGTTTCAACCAAGGAGGTTGATGGCGACAAAATGAGTGATAGACCCAGTAGGGAAAAAAACACGAGCACCGTGATGTCTTGTCTGCACCGTAACAATGTCTGTCGTCGTATCTTGGTAGTAGGAGCTTTACGTATGTCGCATGGTGCGGAATCTTTCTGTAGGCACCGCGGACGTCTCGTTTTTTCATCGTCTCCCGATGAGGACGTTTGATCCGCGCGCATAGAGCACATGAAGGGTTAACGTGGGTGCCGTCGGCTGCGGGCAGCTGTGATGTTGGTGTACAACGGTCTCTCCGTGTGCAAGCGCAGCAATGGCCGTCATATTGTAGGAGCAGCGGCTTTTCGTCCTATTTCGGACGGGCCCGGCGTATGTATCCATGTTTTCTCTGTCCTTTATTTTTCCATTCGGTGGTGTATTTCTGTGTTTCAGGTAAGGCAGGTGCTACCGGGCGGGCGTGTGACCGTATGTGTCTTTGTTGGTCATGGCCTACAGTCTGTGAATCGTCTCGTGCGAATTCGTCGTCCGTGGTGTTTGGTTGTAAGATGGTTTGTCTTTCCCCTACAGCAGGCGATTTGCTGTACTGCTGCGGTTCACGAGTTGCCCGATTGAGTTTGTGCACCATGCCAGGCGGATCGCTGCCCGTTTAGAGGTGTGTAGTAAAACAAAAAATGGGTGCAGCGTACCGTCCGGGGAGGGGGGTCATACTGACAGTTGACATTTTTGGAAGGGGTCAGAAGGTGGGGCACAACCTCACCTATAGCAGTAGCGGGTAGTGGGGGCTCCTCCCCTAAAACCCAAACCTGCCGTATGGTCGCCTAGTCAGCTAATGACCGCATGAAGAGAGACGCAAGATGTCTTACTGCAAGAAAGCAGGGTACTTGCTTGCAAGAGAAAGATCGAGGGCGGGGGCAGGCAAAGGAAGGGAGGCGTGCGTTGGTGGAGGCAGCTCTACCAGGAACGTGGGGTAGGGGGTGCATGGGATGAAGGAAGGCGACAGCAAATTTTATCCACTCCAAAAGAGGGCTGAAAAAGCTTGTTCTTGTAACCACCATTCTACAAGCAGCGCTCGGCGCACCACCGCGGGAGACTTTTTTGTCGATGTGGCCCCGTATTCGTCGAACGTCGGCAACGAGTGGCGTTCATGCGGTACATCTAATTAGAGGGCGAACAACAACAAGCGAAAGAGAAGCTTGGGAGACTTTTCCGCAGACCATCTCGACAGCAGTGGTGGCCAATGCCAAGAGGCCTACGGGGAGGTCCGCACATTGTCGGACGGAGGAGACACAAGCGAAGTCGATTTCGCTAGGACGGGCAATGTATCAGCCCTCTCTTTCTTCACACCGACACACAGATTGGACTGTGTTCGCTGCGACCAACATAGCGAGACAACCAAGAAGCGCAGCAGGTCAACACCACTCTCAGAGGGCACGCATGTGAGAAACGTACTGGCGCGGCTTTCTCTCATCCGCTCACCCGGTATCATTTGTCGCGAAGGATCGCGAAGGATAAGCACCGGGCAAAAAGGACATGGTCGAGGAGCGTGATGCTAACACACTTGGCCACACCCGGAAGCGCGCAAACATGCACACAGGCAAGGCGGCTGATATTTCCCGTCTAAAATGTCTGACAGCTTTCTCATCGGTTGGTCGGGTAGGGCCAAGTCAATGCGCTACAAGCTAGGGAAAGCGGCCTTCCGATGACGTCAGGCGCTTGCCTCTCCACCCAGCAACACCTCAACAGGAATCAACGCGTCTGCAAGCCCTCGCCTGTCCGCGGGCCGCTTCTTCTCCTGCCCCTCGCCACTGTCGTCTCCCCTCGTGACCTCCACCGTGCGATGTCGAACCGCGATGCCCCCCAAGTTCCCGACGCCTTGCCCCGCTTCTCCTTCCGTCGTTGCGAGTGCCCGGCCTGCTGCCGCTGCTGCCGCTGCTGCCCCCCCACCCCTCTCTCCCTTCGGTCCAGGCGGCGGCGGCGGTGGCAGTCTTCGTTTCGCCGCCAACGTCTCTCCGCCGCGAGAACGGAGCCCGTGAACGCGGCAGAGGGCGTGCAAGACTCGCCGGTAGAAGGGGTTCGGCATCGGCAGCACCAACCGCGTGCCCACCGCGGTCGCCAGCTCGGGCGGTTCGACCAGGCCAGAGAGGCACGGGTGCGGGGCCCCCGCTTGCAGCGCCCGCCAGGGATCACTCCGGCCTGGGTCGTGATCTGGGTCTAGGTCTGGAAGCTGCGGCGGCGGCGGCGACGAAGAGTCATGTAGGTCGTCCCCGGGAGCGGAGGACCCCGCAATCTCCGTAAGGATTGAATCTGCGTCCGGTGGCGCGCTCTCGTCGGCGGCGGCGGCGTTATCAGGCGCGGGGCGAGCCGCGGTCTCGCTACCACCGGCACCGGCAGTATCGGTGGTGCCAATTTTGGTCTCGAGAGCCGAGGAGGAAGCGGGGTCACCCGCAGCGGCGGGAGCGGCGGCGGCGGGAGCCTCAGCAGAGGCAGAACCGTTGGAGGAACGCAGGAATCCCTGCAGGATGTGTTCGAGGACTTTCACGTACCCGTGGTGGCCTAGCCGAGCAAGGAGGTGGCGGCTGTCCCGCGGGAGCTGGCCCAGCAGTCGGGCGTAGCGCGGCGGGGGCTGGCCATCGCCGCCGCTGCCGCCCGGGCGCTTGCGTTTCTTTCCAAGCGGGCGAGAAGCGGAAGCAGGAGAGGGAGACGAACGAGAGGGAGACGGACGGGGACGATTCGTCCCGCCATCGCCGGATGCGACGATGCCGCCACCGGTGACGACTCCGCCACTGCCGCTGCCGCCGCTGTTGCCACCCCTATTGCTGCTGGCGGCGCCGGCCCTGTCTCCGGCGCCTTGGCCGAGAAAAATCCGAGCAACCTGCTCGCTCGCCCTCGGAAGGTCCTCCTCGGGCCAAGGGTCGCGCCCGAACTCGATCTCCGCCACACTCGGCGTTGTCCTTATCACCCGAGGCCCCTCCTCGCCGCTCGACCGTCGCCGCCCCCCTCCGCCTGACCCTTTTTGCGCCGTGCTCTCCTCGCCACTCGGCGGTGTGCCGGCGGCGAAGGCGGCGGCACGGGGTGGACCGCCTCGTTCGCCGGACCTGGAGAGGAGGAGCGCGGCTACCCGGGTGCTGAAGGGCACGTTCCTCCCCGCACCGGTGGCGGTGGCGGCGGCGTTGCTTCCGCCGGCGCAAAGCGCCGCTCGACCGACCTCGATTTTCATCCAGTCCCTGGCCCTTCTTCCCGAATCTACCGCTTCTCCTGCTCCTGCTCCTGATGTTGTTGTTGCTGTTGCTGTACATGTTGCTGCTGCTGCTACTGCTACAGGTGAGTCGACCTCTCTCTGCACGTCGCCGTCTCCGCCGCCAGTTTCTGTTCGGAGGGACAACAGATGCGCCGCGACCGCGTCCAAGTTCTCCCGAGACATGACTCCCTGCCGCCGAAGCGTAAGCTCGGAGGGACCCTGCTTATCGTTGCCATCTATACTCTTCTCCCCGTCCCCATCTCCTTCTCCCGTCGGTCCAGCCGCCGCCATCGATGCCGAGCAAAAGAGGAAAACGGACACCCGTAGCTTTATCAGCGCCGATCCGTACAGCCGGAGAACACCCTGCCTCCCCGCAGCGGTGAGCTCTTCGGTACTGGTTCCTTCCGGTACGGTGGAGTCGGCGATAGAAGCGGCGGCGGCGGCGGCGGCGGCGGAAGACTTCGCAGCAGCAAGGTCCTCCGAAAGCGATGACCCCTCCTCACCCAACCTTCCCCCTAAATCCTCCCTTCCCTCATCCATTCCCCCCGTCTCCTCTTCATCCTCGCTGCTGCTGCCGCTGCTGCTGTCAAGGGCGCCGAAGCTGTTGACAAAACCGGAGCTGCTGACAAAGCCGTCGTCACGAGCGTAAGGGCCTTCTACCTCTTCCCCGAAACGCTCCCGGACAGCGCCGACCCTGGACCCATCGAGTCCGGAAAGAAACAAGTCCGTGCTGAGCGCGGAACACAGGAGGCCGTCCACCAACCGGGCTCTGAAGCGCATGCGTTGCCGCCGCCGTCATCGTTGAACACAAACAAGCAGGGGCGCCAAGAGGTATGAAGGTGCGAAACGGGGGAATTTTCAGGGAACTCACGGAGTAGAACCGCTCCGCGCAGCGTTTTTTTTTTTTTTCTGTTTGCAAGTTCCACGGAGCGGAGCGGTTTCTTTCATTTGAAAATGTCACGGAGCGGTGCGGAGCGGTTTATCCGATGGCATAAGTCCCACGAGGCGGAGCGGTTTTATTATTCATGTCACGGAGCGGAGGCGGAGCAGTTTATCCGCAGTGCGGTTTTTTTCACGGAGCGGTTTTTATTACTCCGTAGCGTACACCGCGCGAAACCGTGGCCTTGAGGACGGTTATCCGTCAGAAAACCCTATCGAAACTGCACGGATATCCATACAAAATCGACGGAGTACCTGCACTTTCGCGAAAAACGTTGGGTTTGGTACACCGAAAAGCGACTTTCCGCACGGTGTGCTGTGGTTGGAGGCCGCCAGTGACACCGTATATATGCGTCCTCGCCGCTAGGACAGCCCAGTTTATCAAGTATTCAGAAACGGACCGTTCCCCGCATCGATACCTCCTCGACTCCTCCTATGTTCCTGCAACACGTTAAACAGCAGATGATTCCTCACTTGCCTCTCGTTGATACTTGCCAGTACTAAGCCCTCATACCTCCTCGACTCATACGATCCTGCAACACGTACAACAGCAGATGAATCTTCACTCGCCTCTCGTTGAAACTTGTCAGTACTTCTACATACATAATAGTACGTCCTGCTGTGAAAGTAGAAAAGGAAAAAAGAACAATAGAAAAAATACTGTGACTGGGAAAACTGTGAATTTGTTGCGGTTTTACCCACTGCATTGCGGCTTTACCCGTGCTCGTGTGACGGAGTAGCTCAAACCACTCCGTGGAAGAACTGCTTGTGCGGATTTTTGGGAAGCTCCACGGAGCGGTTTATCCGAGGGAAAATATTCTCACCGAGTGGAGGGTTTTTTCTATCTGGTCATGGAGCGGAGTGGAGCGATTTTTCTGGAGGGAAAGTATCACGGAGCGGTCATAACCGCTCCGCTTCGATCCGCTTCGTGAAATACCCTAGAATATTTTCACGGAGGGCACGCAAACAAACCCCTTCGTTGGTTGCGCCGTGGAAACGGTGACAGCAACAAAAAAACGTGGCCGCACCAGAGCGTTTCGCGGTACTGATGTAGCACAACAACACGGCCTTCAAAGTGCTTCCAACTTGCTCCTGGTGCTGGTGCTGGTGCTGGTGCTGCTGATGCGTGCAGCACCACACCGACACAAGGATGAAATCGCTGCTGCTTCTGTTGCTGCTACTGCTGTTGCTGCTGCTGCTGATGCGGTTGGGCATCTCGACCCTACCCTAAAAAACTCTGACCGACCTGTGGGCTCCCGCGAACCGCCGAGGCCCCGGAGGATGCGAAGACGACGACCCGGCGCCGCCGGCGCCGCCGCCGAAGGTCCTTCCGAGAGAAGCCTCGAACGCCTCTCCGATCGCGGCTTCGACCATGTCCTGTACCGTACCGGTATACAGCAGCACGCCGTGCACGACCGAACCAAAAAATACATCAGGACCAAGCACGCGCCTATACGTGGGCGAAACAAGGGGCTGCACCTAATGAAGTAGTCGGGTGCGTGTGCCTCTCTCACGTGCCTGCGCGTGTGTTTACCTTTACTTCTAGCATGCACCGGTGTGCGTGTTCTGTGTGCCGTTGTTTGTGGGTGTGTTTCATACGTATACCGTCGACCGCGCTTACCGGCTGGCCACTGGAAATATCTCTCTGTGTGTGTTGTGTGTTGCTATCCCATCCCATCTGAACGTCCGTTTTTAATTTTTTTTTGGCATCGTCGGGCGCATCAGCCGGGGTCACCAAGGGACGAACGCCACAAACGATTGTGTAAAAAAAAAAAAAACGGGACAGGGTGATTGAGCGTACTGCGGGTGAGCGGTAACGTAGTTGCGCCATGCAAGCGATATCCGTGTGGTGACCTCTGGGAAAGAAGCCATGAAAGCTGAAACTGAAAAAAAAAATGGGCGCCGTTACAACAAGATACGATTTGGAAGCCGGCCGCAACTCCAGCCGCCGCTCGTACGTACTCATGGACAAACCCACGCCCCTCCAAGACTGCACTGCCAGGATGGCTGGCGCGCGTAACGTCGCCAAAAAAAAATGCCTGTATCTATGTACACTTCCGCAAAACGGTCCAACGTTATTGTTGCTACGTCTCCTCTCTTGGGTTTCACCCTCGGTTTCAGGTCGGCTGGTTGTCCCTTCGCCCCCCCCTCGGTGTTTGCCATCGGGGTTGGGTTTTCGTCGCTTGGCAACGACGTTGTAAAACAAGCCAATTCACTTCGTGAACTCGGCAACCAGGTTTCCGTTTTTGTTTTTTCCCCTCCGTTTTTTTTTTGGCGGTAACCATAACGGGGGTCGAGTAGATCATGTTGTGCGGGGTCGAGAACCCTCGCTCCGCGCAAGGGGGGAGATCGCACCACGTTGTGTTGAAATTGGTCACGCACCCTCGAGGCAGTTACACAGTGCTTACAACTGTCTCTGGAAGTGAAAGCACCACAAAATAAATTGATTCATACGCAGCTGTCATCCGTACGCAAGGAAGTAAGCACAAGATGCCGAAAACCTTTAGCAGGATGCAGCGCACCCTTCATGCGACTCGCCGAATATCTCACGGCGCTTCGCGCTCGGTGATGTGAGAGCCTGGTCCGGTGAGAACCCGGCGTGCTCCGTCCCGACTTTGTAGGGATGCGAGGTCAATGGTCTAACGACTACGGCATGCACGACTATGAGTACCCCCCCCCCCCCACCCCCACCCCATAGGCACCACTGTACAACAATTTCTCTCTCGACCCACCGGCATTCGCTTGTCCCTCCGATTGACGTTCTTCGCGGCGCCGGACAATGGCGACGAGCACGAGGCGGCGAGCGCGGGGTCGTCCGCGCCCGGGCGGAAGAAGAGGTAGGAGGAGTGGCAGCGCGCATGCCCGTCTCTCTTTCCGGGAGGCTCATTGGCCTTCTTCTTCTTGGGGCTTTGGGCAGAAGCGACGACGTCCGCTCGGGATAAGGATTTCGTGCGGCGGCGCTTCCTTCCGCTACCGCTGCCGCGGGTGGAGTAGGGAGAGGAGAGACACAGGCGTTTTCTCATCTTCCCTTCTCCTACGCCGCTGGCGCACCCGCCCCCCCCCGCCGCCCCGGACAAGCCGACAAGGTGCTGGTCTTCCTGCAAGCCGATTGACCTCATCAGTCCGACCAGCTGAGCCTCGTACACCTGTTGGGCACACGCAGCAGCAGTAGCAGCGGAGGAGACCACCATGTATCAACACTGTGTATACAATAGCTCGGTAGCGGTGGCAAGGAGGCCTATACCCTACACGCCCTACACGTTGCGCCGGGTCTCCGGCGTGACTACGATGTGTCCTGGATTCTGCGCCCGTACAACGAAGAAGAAGCGTAGATAAGCTTGTTCTTAGAGGCACGCTCGATTTACCATGTAGCTTTGCTACATCACCTCAGTCCAACGCTTTGGGTCGGGCCACGAGAAGCTGAGATACCTACTCACCTGCTCTTAACAGGTAACAACAGCATAGAACCTCCACCCCCAATCTGCGCAGCTTACGCTCCCACTTCAGGGCAGACGAACATTCGGAATGGATTTGTGAGCACATAATTACCACAGTGACGTGGTGGTCCCAATATACCGCGGTCCAGAGTAGTGCGGGTCCTGATACACCGAGGTCAAAGATGCTTGTCACGGGATTTGGCTACCTAAACCAATAGCTACATATTCCCCCAACACTCAATAGTGCTATGTTCCGTTATACCGCGGAAGATCGGGACCATGGCTATCATATGTCACAGGAGTGCTCCAGGTCGCTACTGCTGCACCAAAAAATCTTGGCCAGAAGCTCACCACTCGAAGGTTGGCGTTGCTGACGGCCAGGCGAGTTGCAAAGTCCAGGCGCCAGGAGAGAGGCCGAAGCGATGCAGGCACGGCGGAGCCTCCGTCCGCTGCACCCTTGCCCCCCACCCCCCACGAGAGCACAGAGTCTGCCTCGCCACCCAGGTTGGCCTCCGCTCCCTTCCCAGCCCAATGCGTGCCCTGAGTCTCCCCGCGCCCATCCTGCCCCTGATGTTCTTCCCCCTGCTGCTGCTGCTGCTGCTGTTGCTGCTGTTTCAGCTGCTGCCGCCACCGCTCCCCTTCATAGTCCAGGGCGGAAAGAGCTCGGCGAGCAATGAGTCGAACAATCGCCTCCTCCATTACGATGTCCCCAAGCCTTGGTTGGGTACGTTTGGAGAGGAGGCGGCGAGCGGGGGGGGGGGGGGGGGGGGATAGCGANGGGGGGGGGGGTGGGGGGGATAGCGAGAGACACCCGGACAGGCAGACAGGCAGACTGGCAGACAGAGCGTAGACTACACCACAAAAATGTGAAACGCAAAGGTTGTCTTCTCCACATCTGTAGTCGGTTCTACAACCAACACGCGTCGACAGACGTGTTGGTTTTTACTACAACTACTACCACAATGACGTAGCCTACTCTCCGCACACATACCGGGTTTTGCCCACAGAGTAGCAGCGTGGCAGCATCATTACGCCGCAGCTGCACAAACCTCATCACGAACAAAGGTGCCTAGACGTCTACCTGATCAACAGAAGCTACTGCACAGGGCGTCGTAACATGCATACTGCAGTAACGCTTTTGCTGCGTACTGCTGCTGCGCTGCTGTTGCTGATACTTGTAGCATACAGCAGTTGACCTTGCAACTGCTGTTAAAGGCGCCTGTAACAGCCTGCCTTCTCACCATTCTAGGCGCTCTCGTCTTTTCTCATCACGAAGCGAGAGCAGGTGGGAAGTGGACATTTTGCCACCACTCCACTCGCTTGCATGTGCTCGTGTCGGTGTGCAACTCTGATTGGTGTGCACCTGACCACCACCAACCCAAAGGGCCAAAGCTGCAACAAGCAAGCGGGAGCAGCAGCAGAACCACAGGAGGGCACGTGGATTGCAATCCCCCGCACCTATGCCACCCCCCCCCCCCCCCCCCCCCCCCCCCCCCCCCCCCCCCCCCCCCCCCTCCCCCCC